GGGGGGGGGGGGGGGGGGGGGGGGGGGGTTCGCGGGAGAGAAGTAAAGTAAAGCCAAGTAAATGGCGGGCGATGAGCGTTTATTATTTGTCTAGGAACGCGGGGACCCGTTGATTCGCGTTTAATTACTTTTCCACGGACCAGACGAGGCTCCGAATATTAATTGGCTATATATTCGCTCGTTCGAAGGGGGTATTCGTTTCGGTTTAGAACTGAAAAAAATTGTTTTCTTTCGATTTCATCTTTTTAGAGGAAAAGCCTTCGAAAATATGCGTACAAAATCATTTACTTCGCGTTGTAAAAACAATGAAGTTGTAGATGTTTGAAATTGTTCACTATTATACGTTACAGACGGACACTGTAAGCATGCACATTTTTACATAATTGGCAGCAAAAGCTTTGAACGTGTTCTTCCCAACTTCAAATTGCTACAACTTTACTATTTTTACGAATCGTAACACATATTTTCAAAGTCTTTCTCTCGAAGAAGATGAAATCGAGAAAATATCAATTTAGCTTATCGGAGACGCGGAAAGGAATGTTTGAAATATTTGATTTTGATGCTTCATTTTTAAAGTAACGTTCACTCGAGGAATATTTAAAATAGTTTAGCATTTTTTATTCTTGCGCGATTACAGCAGTACGTAGTCTTCTTCGTTAACAGCACTTATGTTAATGATATCGCTTCAAAAATATTTTAGCTTGTTTTTTCTTGTTGTCGTTGCTCGTAGCAGAGACGGGCAAAAGGTAATCCGATAAATTATTAACGAATTTGTGCAACTTTTAGATAACAAATAAATCAACGTCCGCAAGAAATGCTAGATATCGGAGCATTTTGCAATATCTATCGAGAATCTCGAGAATGCTTTTATGACCGACTGTATCCGGATTGGAGACTCGGATGATTGGATAATAGCGAGACGGATTCACCGGTCCGCGAGTACGTCGCAAGCGATGCAACTGCACAGTTGCACAGGGAAATTATCCAGACGGCATGGCAGGCGGAAGAAGCTGTATCGACCTCGAACGGCCTCGCGGCTCTTCCCCCCGGCAGCAGGAACACAACGACGACGTCGCACAACGGCACACGGCAGGCAGGTCTCCTTAAACTTTAAACTCAGAGCTCTCGTGAGAGGGAGAGACCTGACTCAAGACCCTCCCGGCCGGGATGAGATGAATATTTCAGGTGACTCGAGTGTCCTCTAAAATACGCCGATGAATCCGTCGGTGGCTGTGCACGACAAGATACTCCGAATTTATCGCGCGGCTCGGCCAGCTCTAGAGCAGGAAGAAGCGGATAGGACACGCATTAGCGTCGACCATCGTTGTCGTTTCATGACCAACAAAAACAAATTACGGGTTGATTATAGATTGGTCGACGTTCGGTGCCCCGACGATGGTCGTTCAGATGCGTCGCAAGAAAATGGAGGGTAATGCTTCAGCGAGATTATGGGATCGGTGTCGGCTAAATTCACCTTCGGCTCTCGAGGAAAAATGTTTCGTAGTTAGGTGTATACAACGAGGGACACGTCGCGTATATCGATCACTCCTCGATTTTCATAAATCGTGTACGTAGCCTAAAGCTGGCTATTCAAATCATTTTTGTATCGCGCTTGTGCGCAGCTACGAAGATATTATACGATACGCGGACACGGAAATAAAATTTCAGGACGTTGTGAACGTGCTGGAAAAATGCTTCGAACAAACAGTACAATTATCGAGAGATTTAAAGAGTATATTTATTTTTCGCTGCACATATGAACGAGCTTATTACGCGAGAATGTTTCCAGCTCGTGGACTCGGTGAAACGTGCGAGCTGCCGAGAGGAGTTGAAAGCTCATACACGGCGATGAACAAAAGAATATTTGATTCGATTGAATTACAGCGATTCGAAAGATTAATTATTTACAGAAGAAGACCCCTCCGATTTTTATGAGATTTAAATATGTTATACGATTCTAACAACTTTGTCCTTCGTAAAAAAGAGTAGAAAATATTCGCGAAAGGAGCACGCCCCGTGGCGATAAATGCGATCTATAATAATATAACCACGTAAATAATTACCGAAAGTAGTTCGAATACGAGGTAAGGAAGAATCGGAAACCGAAATCGCAGTGGAAACAACTTGGAACGATCGAACAGAGTGGAATGATTAAACATAAACGAGACAGCGCGTGTAATAATAAAGTCAAGATTTTTTAATTGGAAATCCTTGCTTATAAATCCGTCAGCTACACCTAAAATATCGGAACACGAATAAGAAACAGAGCTATCGAATGCTTCACAGTTTCGAAACGGTTACCCAAATGCCGGTAACGGGCTCGGGCAAGAAATAATATTTGGACCACTTCAACGGTAGCGCGGTCTTCGGCGACAATTTAATCTCATAATTGTTCAAGAAAGCAGCCAAGCAGGATTTCATCATCAACGTTGCCATCTTCATTCCGACGCACATGCGTGGGCCTTCGCCAAACGGAAGGAAGCTCATCTTCTGTATGTCTTGCTTCCTCTCCTCGCTGAACCGGTCCGGATCAAACACTTCCGGATTGCTCCAATATTCGGCATCATGGTGGATCGGGGCAACCGGTACGTACACGTCCATGCCAGGTTCCAGGCGGACGCGCAGTCCGTCCGAACCGACCAGTTCGCACTCGTTGGTGCATACCTTCTTCAAGAATATCACGGCCGAATGCCGTCGTTGCGATTCGTTGATCACTCGGTCCATGTACTTCAAATCCTTCAGCGCTTCGAACGTTAGGACGCCGTCGTGTTCGGCGATCGTCGTCCGAATCTCGTTCCGCAGCTTCTCCTGAATCTCGGGATACTTGGCCAAATGGTAGCAGACGAAGGTCAGCGTCAACCTGGTAGTCTCGAAACCATCGATGAAAAGGGAGAGCGCGTGAGCGACGATCCTCTCCTCGTTCATCTCGCCCTCGGATTTCTCCATGTCGATCATCAGCTGGAAGAAGTCCTGCTTGGACGTCGAATCGTTGCGCCTGAACTCCAAGTTCTCCCGCACGATACGTCTGAAGAACGCGTCCACTTTCTGCTCCACGAACTTGATCCTGAAAAATCTGGCCACGCACGGTTTGTAGATGAACAGGTTGTTCACGAACGCTTTGAAGAAGCTCGGATCGAAGATCCCCAGTCCGATAGAGTGGAACGCGTTCGGCGGTGGGTTGTCCTCGTAGCTGTACCCTTCGATGCCCAAGCCGGCGTTCGCCACGGACTCGGCTGTGAACCGTCCGAAGAAGTGTTTCAGCTCGACCTCGTACTTGTCCCGCGACTTCAGCTGCTTCTCCAAGAACGCTTGTTGCTTCTTGCACACCTCGGCCACGGCGGCGTACAGGTATTTCAGGCGGGCGTTGGAGAACGCGTTGGTGAATCGTTTCCTTCCGTGCTGCCACGCTTCGCCGACGGAGAAGAACGGATTCATGGCTAACAGAGGATCTTCCTTCGGCGACACTTGGAAACTATTCTTGTGGAAGTTCGCGAAGCTGCTTTGCAAGACTGTTTTTATCAGCTGCGGCTCGCGCACCACCAACGCGGGCGCGAATCCGTTGTACAGGCCGAACATGCTGTGTTTATTGCACGCGTTGTACAGATCCTCGAAGTGGTCTATCATGCTTTTCGCGACCATGTACACCGGCCCCATGTGGTCCAGAAATGGCCAGCATCTTTCCGGAATCGGGATCCTGCGTCGCTGCCAGAAGGTGAACGCCTTGACCACGTAGATCGCGAGTAGAACGAGAGCCCCGAGGAGCAATGTCAATGTCGCCATTTCTTTGTACGCGCTGCGAGCGATATCGAACCAGTTAACCGCCGATTGCTGCGCTCCGAAGAACGAGACTCGACTGTTAGCGTTTATGCTTCGCGCGTATAATCAAGTGGCGACGTCATAGTTGTTATCAAATTAAGCGGGAGACACGGGCGTCGATGCTGAAAATTGAAACTCTCGCGCCATCGAGATTGATCGGACACACTCCGCGACACGGAACCGTGTTGCATTAATCTGTAAACGATGTCCTGCGAATTTCCTGTTTACCATATATTTGTTGCGCGCGGGATAAACGTAGTTGCCACCGCTGATCGACATGGGCGATTACGAAAATTTCTGCTTCGTATTTAGTATTTTCAATAGCGGAACCCAGCGATAGCTGTATTTGTAGATACGACTGTTCGCACGGCGCAAGATCAATTGCGGACATTTAGCTGTACGCGTAATTAGCTTATGCATAATATACCTTTTGAGTTATCGAAGGGGCTTTAATTAAAAATGCGAACGGTTTTGTAGCGGATATTTCAATTTGATGTACCATATTTTTAACATTTTCGATAACGTTACTAACGGGCTTCGTGCTTTGTTTCGTATTTGATTTGACAACGTTAAATAGATACTGTGATATCGCGGAAACAAAAACCATTCGCATAAATCAACGCAAATAATCGGTGAACAAACGGCGCTTTAAAACGATTGTACGCCAATCTAACGTATCGAAGGATCGATTTGGAAACGGTAAAGATAGAATTTGTAGCGTCGAGATTAAAGTCTACGTATCCTCTTCAAGCTTGTTCAGTCCGAAGCTAATTCGTCGATACAGAAAGTCGAAATTGAACCAGCAGAGTTTCATAACTGCGAGAACGAAACGCTACGCCATTACATACCAAATTGATACGTCCTTCATATCTATTACATATGTCACGTTCAATAAAAACTGTGTCGTTTAATACAGATGTACTACCGTTCGATATAGCGACCACCGTGGACCGATGACCTTCGCGAAAACTTTGGTAAGTTTCTTTCGCAGCTTGAAATACGAAAAACTAGATGTTCGAAACTATGACAAACGAACAATTTTCGCGCTCGGCAATCGTATCGAGCCAGGCGCAGTGTAAACTTCGCTTTTATTTTTCTAGTTTCATGAAATTGCTCCGTTTTCTTTTTTCAAATCTCGCTTCTTTTTTCTAAGCGAAGGTTCATGCGATTGAATATGATTTTTTCCCAACCAAATTTAATATTTATCTTGAAATATCGACACGTACCTTTATAATAAATACAGGTCTTGTCGCGCGGTTTCAAGCTTGTAAGCTTTGAGAAGCTTATCATTCTAGGAAAGAATCTTTATAATTTTAGCGACTTTATAACAAAAAATGTGAAACCGGTCATTTTGACCGGCTCGGTAGGTTCGGTACACTATAAGATTCGTTCAAGGGACACGAAAGAACAACAAAAATCTGTGCTATTTACTACCGTAGAGCTCTCGTACCGCAAAGATCTTCGGTCACAAAAACATGGAATCCACGAAGCGGTTTACCACGAGCTAGCAGAGCTAACGAGACAGTCGGAGAAAAGTGGGAAGTCGAGGAGCAAAAGAAGACACGAGCGGTCGATCTTAGAAGCCAAATACTACATAGACCCCGGCCAGTAGTAAGTCAGTGGCAACAAGTTGCGAAAGTTGTTTAGCCCTCTTGGAACCGGTGCGGTGAACGTTCGTGAAAAACTATGATCGTGCAGGGGAGACGGGAGCGATTTTACAGCGTGCAGGTCGGTAGAAAAGTTTTCGCGTGCGGGCAACAAGTTGGAGAAGTTTCGTTATGACCGTGGCACGGGTTCGGCAATGTTCCACGGGGCGTTTCAAAAACCGGAGAACGACTAATCTTACGATATGGAGTCACGTGGTAGAAACTTTCCACTCGGATCTCACGAATTCGTCGGATAAGAGTAGCGAATTGGTTCGATGCTTCGACAAATCTATGATCTTCCGGTTCACGGACGTGTCTTTTAATACGTTCCGTGCCGAGCTTTTTTTACTCGAATCTTCACACTTTGATATTTTACTAAAACTTGATGTATTACGTGCGATTATTAATTCTCGTACACATAACAACGTAACAAAAACTTATCAACGCCCATTCTTGCGGTGGAAATTGATTCTTCGGTTCTAAATTTCTTGTGAACAATTTGTTCAGTTCACTAAGTAAACATGCAAGCGTGTACCATCGATGGTACACGTGGCACGGAACGTGTTAATGCCCGAGATTAGAAGCGAGAAGTGTTGGAGATCGGCTACATACGGTTGGGTTTTAGATAGCGCGGTTTTTTCCGCATAGTAATTGCCTAACATAGTTGTGTCACAAGCGTCCATTCGGGAGCTTTTTTTCCTCTCCTGTTATGCGATTGTTTACTTATGCGTTCCGTGCGAGTAATAAAGTGATTAATTTTTTGGAAACTGTGGAGCGTCGAGTTAACAACAATGAACATCCCCGACATGTTTTGTTGCTTTTGAATGTTGCAAATTTTACCGAAGCAGCACTTCGAAAGCTAACCTGGTATTAGAAAATGTTGACAGATCTTTTAGATATAGAGTGAATATTGCATCTAAGCTGAAGGGCGAATTTTTGGATAGTAACTTTAGTAAACTCTTGAGCTTACCGTAAATTAATTGAAGTATAGTGGCTACACACCTACCTTTTCCTTTCGAAAAAGGACTACCGACCGCTATTAACAAACTTCATTAAATTCGAGGCTACGATTAATTTTCTGGCTGATTTATAAAGATTGGATATGTTACAAATTAATCAAGAAACGAAATTTTCATTTCATTTGTGACCAGATAATGCTCAACATGAAAGGTGATATGTTAACTGTGAATTCCAATTGTTCGGAAAGAAACATTTGCATAAACGTGAAAGCATTCATTTGAATAAATGTCCGCGGTTGATTTATAGTATCGTGAAACGGTATTTGCTTTGTACAGAGTTACACTCTATTGTTATATATTACACAATTGTGTAAGCTGTTCGTTCAATTTCATAATGTTTTTTCTATTGTATCGTTCGTTTGCCCCGGCTATTCATTAAAGACATACGACTTCGTAATGCAATTGTATCGATGTACCAATTTATTATGGTATATTCTTGTGCAGTTTCGTAATTAGTCTAGGTTATTGCAATACTTTGAAAATATTGGTTATGGAGGAATACCTTTTAAAATAATAAAATATAATTTTCCAAAACCACACACACACACACACACACACACACACACACACACACACACACACACACACACACCCGAAATAATAAAATAATATTTGTCCAATTAAAGTTTTATAGAAGTTTCGAAAAAATCCGATAAAAATCGGATATTGTTATAATATTGAATTAATTGCAAGTTTGTAATATTGAATTGGTAAAAGTAAATGGTACTTAAAGGTATTGTTATCAAGTCAACGCGTGCGTGAGTACTGTCACGTCGTACGCTCCCCTGGTCCGTTTTACGGGACCCGGAAAACGCACGAAAGATCACCGAGACGGGATCATAAAAAATCCTGGAATTGTGTTCAGAGAGGTACGAACTTAATAGTGAAACAGGTCGCTCACGANAGGAATACCTTTTAAAATAATAAAATATAATTTTCCAAAACCACACACACACACACACACACACACACACACACACACACACACCCGAAATAATAAAATAATATTTGTCCAATTAAAGTTTTATAGAAGTTTCGAAAAAATCCGATAAAAATCGGATATTGTTATAATATTGAATTAATTGCAAGTTTGTAATATTGAATTGGTAAAAGTAAATGGTACTTAAAGGTATTGTTATCAAGTCAACGCGTGCGTGAGTACTGTCACGTCGTACGCTCCCCTGGTCCGTTTTACGGGACCCGGAAAACGCACGAAAGATCACCGAGACGGGATCATAAAAAATCCTGGAATTGTGTTCAGAGAGGTACGAACTTAATAGTGAAACAGGTCGCTCACGATAATATCGTTCAGGGGATTAAATAGCGATTTGCGGATGATCATTTTATCAAACGCGCAGCTTAAGTGCCCATTCACTGAACAGATCACCCTATTACCTAATCTAGCAATTGCCTTATATGGTATCGATTGTATCGGGCACATGTTTGATCGAATTACTACACTAAAATTACTAAGCTGTGCATTATCTTAGTTTCTGTACTAAATGTTGTTCCGTGCTCGAATAAGTGTCTGCCGTTCATTAACAGATGTAGAAACATTATTCAGTTACGCACGAATGATCGATCCACCTAAAAGCATGAAACTTTTCGACGCAACATTTGAAAAAGGGAATATGGAAGAAATAGATCGATAGATTATAACAAAAATAATACTTTATATTCGATTATTCTTATTTAAATCGATTATTTTTCGTACGAATTCCTGTACGAATGAATTCTTATTCGAGTAAAATGACATTCGGATGCAGGTTTATCTAGACAATTATCCGATTATCTGTCATCCGATTAAAATTTTTCCCAACTCTGTAACCTTATTGGCGTCAAATTGATCGAATTCTGCAATTTTTACTTTCTTTCGCATTTGCAGTTATTATATCCTTCAACATAATAAACATAAATACTTAGTATTATAGTGCAATTTTCAATCACGCGCACGTATTTTTTCACTTGTAACTTACCGATATCTACAAAATACATTTTTCAAATTTTCGTTGTAGGCTCAGATAAGAAAAGTTAAAAAGCGAGAGTTCTTTTCCTTTCGTCACTCCAAGCGATAGCAACATTTCAAGAAAGTATTATAATTATGGTCGCTCTACCATCTAAAAAAAATTCAAGTCGTTTAGCCCAGTTCTAAAAAGGTTATTGCGTTTTGAAAAATATCCGAACATTAACGGGCATCACTGTACTCCGTCTACTAGATTCGAAATCTGCCACTGAACAGCAGAAAATTATCCGACTGTCCAATATTTAAAGCACGCGAAGCAGAAACGAAGCAGACATTCCCGTCTGTCTGCATTCAACAGCTCGCTCCGGAGCCGCGGGAAGGCAAGAAATTCAGAGCCGCCGGAACGCTGGCAGTTTAGCTAAAC